AACATCATGGCCAACCTAAAGCTATTTTCTCATTTTACACCCTATATACCTCCCGATCCTTCCTTCTCTTGAAACCTTGTAGACCTAAAGCTGCCTTCTTTTGAAAGCTACATTGCATTTTGGCCAGTCAGCTGCTATGAGGCTCATAGCTACTCATTGCGTCTAAGTCCCTGCAGGGCCCCTTCTCCAAGGTCAGAGAAAACTCCTCAGAGGTGACATGAGTCCTTCAGTGCTATTCTAACTTCTCTGAAGTTCCTGCAGGGCGTAAAAACCAGACCAAGTAGTGATGGCATAAAGGCCAGGAGGCTGGCAAGCCAGGGATAAGGTTCAACTTAAATTCTTGATGTGAAGTCCATGAGGCCTCATCCTGAGCCAAGGGCAGGTGCCAAGATTGCATGGACAAGTACGCAGAGAGAAGCCAGCGGTGCTTAGGTGCCACAGGAGGCGTGTCATCTTCTGGAGTAGGAGGGTGTGGGGTCTCAGCCTCTCAGCCTCCGGAAGACAAACATGGGATGCAGTGGCTGGAGGCACCTGTCATGTATGTGAGGGTCTCCGCTTGGAGCTGGGGGCTGAGGGAGCCCAGCCTGAGGTTTAACACCCCTACCAGGGTAGGGCTGCTCCAGAGATGTCCAGCTCCCCCCACAGGCATGATCTGCTGCCGGCACTCTGCTGTCTGGTGCAGGTTTAGAAAGTGCCCTGGCAGGGGCATGGGAGGATGTGACCCCACCCTCTCTCCTGTCCTTCCCTGAAGGACCACAGACCTGCACTGCATGTGGTCCCACACCTGAAAGCAGGAACTCCATGTACTTTGCCACTTTTTGGTTATTTATGGCAGCGTATGAGTCAGTCTGTTACTGCGTCACAACCAGAACCCACAATGCACTTGAAAAGTAACAAAAGCAGATCTGAGTGTTTACAAAACTAAGACTCTATGTAGAGCTTTGTTTATTCTTTGACAAATTGGAGTTAAGTTCTGGAGTCTAACACGTGCGTCACAAAATGTACATCTCCGCACCCAATTTCCAGACTTTGATATAATCTGACGAATAGTCACGAGGGATTTCCAGAGTAACACCATCAGGATGTGAGCCAGCGCCTCTGAAGGTGAGCCTTTTTAATTTTCTTGCTAGGATGGAACCCACTAGAGTCTAAGAGAAAACATGCAAGGGTTGCAGAGAGTCGGCAATGGAGGGAAAGAGGCACTGCCAGTCGTGGTTATTCCTACTATTAACGAGGTAGGTTCTGACTGCCAGAGAGCATTCAAGTTCAAGGAGCGAACGCAAGATCTCCGTGATTCTTACGTCATCCCAAACTGAAAGCGTGCCCTTTGAATAGCTGCCCATTTCCCCATCCCCCCACTGGAGCCTGGAGACCACCATGCTCCTCATTAGGTCATGTAAGTGGAATCATATAAATCATGTATTTGCCTTGCGGTGTTTGGCTTCTTTCATGTAACACTGTCTTCAAGGTTCACCCATGATATGGCATATTTAAGAATTTTGTGTTTTAAAAGCTGAATATTCCATTGTATGTATACACTACATTTCATGACTCTAGTCATCTCCCAACACACAACTGTGGCTTTTCCACCCCTAGACTATTGTGAATCATGCTGCTATGAACATGGGTGTACAAATACGTTTGAGACCCCACTTTCAATTATTCTGAGTGTACACCTAGAAGCAGAATTGCTGAATCATATAGTAATTCACTGTTTGATCTTCTGAGGAACCACTGTGTAATTACTCACACCGGGTCTGTTTTCTTGGTGGTCCAGTGAGCACCATGAGGTCATGACTAGTGTCACTGTTACGCAGGGCTGAATCCTGAGGTCCTTGCAGACCAACCTTGCAGGTATAATCTATGAGCCTACAAATATTGAAGAAGTGATTACATAAGTGGTGGGATGTTCTAGAGGGAACTTGAAGCCCAGACACCACACACCACACATGGAGCCTTTGGTTTTTTCTGTCTAGCGAGACATGGGTGCCCCTGACAACGAGCACACGGGGGCCGAGTGTCAGGAAGCCTCAAGACGCCAGCACAGAGGTGCTAATCAGCCAGGGGCTTGGGCCCACAACCTTGTTATCAAAAACGGTAACACAGAAGATAGCACATGAAAGGAGAAAAAACATGTTCACCAGGATCAGAAGGGTGTTGTCATTGATTAACGTCAAAATAAACACGCCACATTAGGGCACCCGTGGGGAGAGAAAGGGTCAACACTTTATAATCTCCATCATACAGCATTCTAGACCATGCAAACCAACCTACTGTAAGGGGAAGTCAGTCAGCCGTTGCCTGAAGGCATGAAGGGCAGTGAGGGACATTATTAAGGATACAACATAACTATAGGGTGGTGGTCAGGCTCATCTGGGCAGGTGATTGTGGTGACAGTTTCATGGGTTGTAAGAATTTCAATTTACCAAATTGCAGGTTAGTATGTGCAGTTTATCGCATGTCATTTATATCTTATCAAAACTTGAAAATATGGTTCAAAATAAAAATCTGGATTTCCTGTTTCTGTAAAATCCCCTATATTGACTCCACCATCTCTCTCCTCATGCCCCAGGAGAGGGAGCTGTGCCTCGGTGGTAGCAAATATTTGTGAGCAATCAGTTATCTCCACTTTATTAAAAGGAATGCAGGCTGAGTCACAGAGGCCACATCACTGACAGGAGATCTCCCTTCTATGCTGGTTTTCCTCCCTGCACAGCAGAAGCCTTGAGATAGGCAGCCCAGAAAGGCTACAGGAACCGTAACACCCTTAGATTATTTCCTCTCACAGTGATCTCAGCTATGTAAGATTCAGTTCAGGAGGTTTGACAATTCCTGTACCTGCTCATCCTTTACAGCTGTAGTGATGGGAACACTGTGAATGTCCCTTTAAAGAAGTTACACTCCAACTAATCTGCTGCAGTCTCCCCACTCCCTACTAATCCCACATTTCATTAACAAATATGATTCCCCCTGTACTCTCTCAACCAGTGGCACTAAAGGATTCCGGACCCCATGGCACACAGCTCTTTTACAGGAGCTGAGGAACAGATTCCATTCATCAGTGCTGAGTACACTGTAAGGGCCCCTGTGAGTAGTTTTACTCTTGGAAGCCCCAGAGGTTGTCACAGCAACTGTGTCCTCTTCAGGTTAACCTCTAAACCTACTAAATAACATGACATCCAAGCTACAAATAAGGACCACGAAGCCACGCAGCCCTTCCTGGGAAACCTTGGATAAGAATATAAATCAATTAGCCGAAAATGAGAGCGCTATATTCTGCCATTCTGTCCCACCTGAGGCACACGGGTTTGGGGTCCCAACAAAAGGCAGTTACACCTTCACGCTAGCAGAACTCAGTTTTTCTCAGCAGAACAACTCAAACTGTGAGAAAAAGATGAGAAAGGAGTGAATGCCCAGGCTTCTCACAGATCCTTCCACAAATAGGAGAACATCGAGTTTTACTTTGCCAAACATAGAGTGGTGGGTGAATGACTGCACACCACAGGCACATTCCAGGGAGTGAAGTGAACTGGCTGCTTCAACAGAATCGAGAGCGACATGAACCTGGCAGAGTCTGGGCAGCTCAGAGTTTAAGACAGCTCCCACATATCTAAGATTTAGTGGATAGTCACATGTATGAGATTAAATTCAGGTAGACGGCATCCTCATGAGGGATACTGTCCAGTTATAATGAATACAAGAAATAGCACATTCCCTATACATTTACATTAATTCCCTAAGCTTCCTATGTGAACTTTTTGGCATTCAGTAAGGTAAGGCCTTCATCCAGTGTGAATTCTCTGGTGTCTTAAGAGACTGGTGGTGTAAAGAACTGCCTACATCCACCACACTCATAAGGCCTTTCTCCAGTATGAACTCTCTGATGCTGATGGAGCTTTAAGCTTTGGCCAAAAGATTTCCTACATGTACTGCACTCCTAAGGCCTTGATTCAGTATGGACTCTCTGGCAGTTAAAGACACTAAAACTGTAAATAAAGAACTTCTCACATTCACTGCATTCAGAAGGTGTTTCTCCAGTGTGAATTCTCTGATGCTGAATGAGGTTGGTCTCGTCGCTACATCATTCCCACATCCGCACACTCCTGAGGCCTTTCTGCAGTGTGGACTCTCCAGTGGTGAGGTGGTAGTTCTTCCCACATTTACCACATGGGTAACAGCTTTCTCTACTGAAGTCTCCAGTAATGAGTGTGTGTTTACACTTGAAAGCTTTCACACATCCTCTCCAGTAATAATGTATTTTTACAGTATGAAAGTCCGCTAGTTTCCCAAGTACACAGCCCTGCTGGATTTTTTTGTCCTGTTTCTTAAGTGGCATTCCCCTAAATTAATCTCATGGAAGCTTCTGTATAGTGAATGAGCCGACCCAGTTGTTTTTCCCATTATGTGATTTGACCTTTTACACAATCACTGCACAGTTACCATTTCCAGTGTCAGTGCTGGAAGTGATTTCTTTCAGGATCTCATTTTTATTTGTTAATTTGTAAGCACATATACATGTGTATATTATAATAAATGCTAAAGTCATAAACCAAAAAGGAAAAAAGAAAGTCCACTAAACACGTGGCACTGCCCCTTGACTTCTCCATGGTGTGAAGTGATGTTGCTGGAGAAATCCTGAGCAGGTCAGGAATCCCTTCCCCACCCCGTAGCTGAGGGGTTTCCGTAACACACAGAACGTGTAGCTCTTCACAAAGAGGCTTTGCTTCTCAAGTGTTTCTCTCCAACATGCTCCTCCTGGTGCTGTGGAAGGTTTGCAGTGCAGTGAAACAAAATAGCTGCCCACATGCCCAGCAGGTGTGAACTCCGTGCCTGATATGTGTTCCCTGGTGCTCAGCCAAGTGCCAGATGTCTCTCGAGACTGGGCCACTCACCTCCCAGGGATGGGCCGTCCGGGCAGACGCACACCTTCAGAGTCCTGGCCTGTGACACTCCCACAGAAACGCTCTGCCCACTCTCGGCTCCACACCAACGACCTGAAAGGAATGGAATGCTAGGAGCCCATGCTGAGCTTGTGGCAGCTGCCCCTACAGAGGAGTGGGCTCAACAAAGTCAGGATGAGCCCATGAATTATTCGCAGAGCCAGTTTGTTCAGGCTGAATATGGGGCTGCTTTGCTGTACTGGAGAAGAACAAGCACAGAATGGGGAATGTCTCACAAGCTGGAGGACATAACTGTGGGGCCTGACATCTGGACGAGAGCACGGTCTACAACCTGTTTTTCTGAAAATCCCTTCCAGGAGGTTCTTGTTTGCCAGTGACACATGAGTGCCATGTAGAAGGCGATGTCCAGGACCAAGAGCATCCAACTGCCACAGGGCAGCTCGCGCTCAAGGACTATTTAGAGGCGCCACAGTCTGCGGAGGTCAGTGTGGGAGAGCAGCGCAGAGGGAGCGCCGAGGAAAGCAGGGGAGGTGAGGAGTCCTGGCGGCGAGACTCATTTCTGCACAGATGTAAGAGCAGAAGTGCCAGGTAGAGTTGACAAGTAGACAAAGTGCCAAAAATGGTGAAAAACAGCAGAAATGAGTTTTGGCTTGGTGTTGGCAAGTGGCATTGGTACCAAGATATTCATCAATTAGAATCGGTTTCTGCTATAATTTGAATACAGCCCTGACATCATGCCTTCTCCCAGGTGCCACTTCTGAAGACTAACTGGGATCCCCCCGAGCCTGTATTTCTGTGGCTGGATTAACACGGAAGGCTCTCTACCCTACTCCCAAGATGAGCAAATACTGGCACCCAGATGGATACAATTAATAAAGGAAAGACTTTACAAAAGAGCAGCCAGTGCTGGACCAGCAGAACTCAGCCCACGGTGGCCACAAGAGAGAAAATATTACAGAAAACTCTGGGGAAGGATCTTGTAAGAACAGACTGCAGTCTGTGCAATTAGCAGTGACAGCACTTCTGGAACAGGCGGCCGGAGGAAATGCCAGCTGCGGGGAGGCGGCAGAACCTGGGGTCTCAGCCAGGGAGAGGCAAGCAAAACAGGGGCAGTCACAGCGACTGCGAGATGCCCGACTCTAAATCTGTCCTCGAGAGGCAGCGGGCAGGTGCCGGGGCTGCTCAGGGTACCTGGTGGTCATTCAGCGTCACCAGCAGTGCCCTTGGTCCTCAACTGGGAAGGACATGCCAGCCTCTAGGGAAAAAGGGAAGAGCAGAGAACTCGTCAGGGCACAGGGGTGGGCATGGGGCCCTTCCCTAGAGAGGGTATAAGGTCAGAGTTCTCGGGGGCCACATCACAGCCTGGATGCCTCTGCGCCTCATCACGGAGAGCCCAATCCTGAGAAGTTCACAGCCATGTCCTCAGAGGTCACAGTGCCCTGTCATGAGGGTGACAGGTGAAATCACAAACAGCCCTTCTCCTGAGTACCCACAATCCATCTCACATTTACCTACCCCGCCCCGGGAGACAAACCAGGCCCTGGTGCAACCTGCCCTGCCATCTCCTCAGGGGCTCACAGGTCACCCAGTCCCGTATCAGAGCATGAGGCAGGCACCCAGGCAGAGGTCTGAGCTGCAGCCCTGGCCCAGATGTCATCCACCCACTCCTGCCAAGCTACTGTCCTGATGTGATCAAAGTTAAGTAAGTCTCAATACCAGGAATTTGGGGCCATCACACAGACTCCCTCCCCAAGCACACTCGCTCTAGATTCCACGTCCCTCACTGCCCTGGGCACCACAGGCACATGCCCGCGGCTACGACACCCCGCTGCCCCACAGCACGGGCACCTCCCTGGCCTCTCCACGTCACTTCTGTGTTAGGCACCTCCTCTTAACTGCACCAGTAAGGGTGGAACTCCTGTCCTAGGGTTACAGGGATGGCCAAACACAGGACCCCTGACACTGGACAGATACAATCAACAGTTTATTCATAAAATACACTCAGAGCCTGGGAGAGAACCCCACACACCTTACAGGGCCACAGGAATGCTGTACACTGGAAAGAAGTCAACAACCAGGGGCGGAGAGATGCAAGTTTCACAGGATCAAGGGATGGAATACAAGCTGGTTCCCTCAGGATGACGCAAATGGCCAGGAGAGCACTGAAACCCACTTCAAAGGGAGAAGCAGCAACTGCTCTGGTTACATTCTCCAAAGAGCACAGGCAGGTCATATGAAAGAAAATTATGAAATTACAGAGTAGGTTAGCATGTGGTAGTAACAATGAAAACAAGACCAGGTGTGTGTCCTGAGAAATTAGTATGAAATGTAGTATTAACCCGGTGAGGAGGCAGGAGGGGTTCTCCTTAGTAAGAGGGCCACTGAGACACTTCGAGGAGATGAGAGATGTGCCGTGTGGGCATTCTTGGGCAAGCTCATGGAAGCGCAGCAGATGACTGTCTTTGGTGGGTGGAGCACTCGTGGGGTTCAGCAGCAGCGCCAGGGGGCAGGAGTCTGGGGCTCCCAGATGGCTATTCATCGACTTTGCTCACTGTAGACACTCAGGGAATGTGGGTGCAAAAACTTAGGCCTACAATTCTTCACCTTGGTGGACATGCCATGAACTAAGCAGGATTTCATGCAGCCCCCATTTTCCTAGTTTGATTCTTGGATCTTCGCCATTAGTGCCACCTGGGGCCTCACTGGACATGCATCCTCTCGGTTCTGAACCCACATCAACTGAATCAGGCAATCTGGGATTCAGACCCTAGAAACTGTTGTCTTAAGTTCCAGGTGATTGAGATGCACATGAAGAAGATTCCATCCTTCTCTTGTGGTTGTGTCCAGGGTGCTGTTTCTTGTGATTAGCTTATCAAATCTCCAAGACTTTTGCAATGAGGTTGCACGGATGCATCAGTGTACATTTATTTCCTAAAGCTTTTAAATATATACAAATTGTCAAATTTTAATTAAATTAGTACTATAACACATACTTATAAAAAATAATATGAATAGTCTCTGATCATTCTAGCTCCTGGAAGAAAACAATTTGCAGTAATAAGATTATTTTAGATCTGTGTCTGCACATATGTGTATCACTCTATGTGTATGTCAGTGAGTTCAAACATATGCTTACACAAGTTTTTCTTAGTAAAAAATCAAGTCACACATTGTATACTGATTCATAAATTGACTTTCTCACCTAATGTCTTGGACAACCTACAGGTACTCATTTTACAAAAAAAAAAATACCTCATTATGTCCAATCTTTGTGGACCTAACACTGTCTCTTTGTGAAGCCTCCATTGTGTTTTGTCGTCTGCATGCTCCAGGTTCCCCATGCAGTGGGGCAACTGCTCCCAGCCCACAAATAGCCCCTCGGTTCATCCAGGGCCCCTCCTCCCAGACCATGAGGATGAAACTACTGGAGTTCTTCAGAATTCCTTCCTGGTGGTCAGCTGCTCTCAAGAGTCACCCAGGCGGAGAACCAGGACCAGGCAGTATCTCATGATTGCCAGGAGGTTGGTGACACTGTACTAGACCTAGAAACCAGAAGTGCCCCATCCTGATGCTTGGGGTCTGGTTTGACTGTGGTGCCCAACAGTGTCCAAAAGGGGCACATTGTGCTGGCTGCACCTTGCTCTGCAGATCTGCCCGAGATTGTCTCAACATGTGGGACACTGCACTGCTCAGGTGCTAAAGGTGAGCCATCAATTTCTGGAGGGAGAAGTGGGATCTCAGCTTCAAGGTCCAGCAGTGAAGATGTTGTCTCTGGAGGAGGGATCTGGGATTCGGTGGCTGGTGACACTTATGTGCACCTGACCAGTGATGTGATATGGAGGGTCTCCACTCTTTGGGGAGGGGGACTGAAAAAGCCTGGTGGAAAATGTCAGTTTCTATCCCGCCCAAGGAGGGCCCCCTGGAGAGGACTCATCTACACTTTTCCTGCTACCTGCCTATCTCTCTTGCATCTCTACCCTCTGCTTTCTTGTGCAGGTTTGGAAAGTGTCCTGGAAAGGATTCCACCGCAACTGCTGTGCATCTGTCCCTCAAAGGTCACAATCCGGCAAGCAGTCACTGCTGTATTCTGTATACTTTCATGGTTGGTTATCACAAGAGCGTAAGTCTGACCCTGTTGTCCCATTAAGCTACAACTTACACACTTATAGGAAATAAGAGTAATTCTGAGAGTTTTAAAGCACAACTCTCACTACCATGCTTCCTTTGGACTTTGCAAGTTGGAGCTAACTTTTGGTTTCTAGCAGTAGAAGCAAATTAGGAAGCCTCAAACTAAATCTTCCCAAGTTCAAAAAAAGATCACATACTTTTGTAGCATTTTTAGACATACCAAATCTGTCTCTTAACTGTATCTCTTTAGATATTGAGCCTCATTATTTACTAATTTGTTGTAGAGAACACATTACATGACAGTTGTGTTAGTCTGTTAGGACTGCCATAACAAACACCATAGACTGCTTGGCTTAAACAGAAATTTACTTTCTCACAGTTCTGGAAGCTTGAAGTCTTAGGTGAGGGGTTCAGCAGGTGTGGTGGCCTGAGGCCTCGCTCCTTGGCTTGTGGATGGTCATCTTGCTGTGTCCTATGGTCTTCTCTCTCTCTCTGAGCACATGCCTGATGTCTATTCCTCTTACAAGGAGACCAGTCATAAGAGAGTAGGTTCCCACCCTTACGGCCTCATTTGACCTACTTAATCCTTAACTTCTCCAAATATGGTCACAGGGGATTATGGCTTCATCATATGAATATTACGTTAATAAATGTTCATGGTAATAAAAGCCAAAGGAGTAACTGAAGTTGGGAAGTAAACAGGCAAAGACCATAAGATTATTTGAGAGTATCTTCTGGATGCAAATGGCTGACAGTAACTTTTAAGTGATCCATGGAAATAAAATTTTCAAAAGCTACCCACTATGTATTGTAAGCACATTACTTCTGAGAACTAATTAAAACAAGCTTCTAACTAAAACATGTTAGAAGGTGCTGGGAAGCTCATGAGGCTTGCTTAGGCCTGTTCCCTCTTGAAAGGGGAAATTAGTAATAGGTAGTAGTAGAGACATAAAGGCTTCTCCTCACAACCAGAAAGAAACAAGTAAAAAGGACAGACTTCCTCCAGGTGTCCACACATGCCACATGCCACACATACTGTGTGCCCTCCCTGAAGTCATCTGGACAGTGCAGGAGCTTGCCCCAGGCCTTTGGAAACAAGGGATGATGGGGCAGCCCTCAAGAGAATTTTTATGGAGATTGTTTTTAGGAAGTGTGGGTAAAATTATAGTATTTCCAGAATATCTCGCCTGGCTTTGGTACATGTGTATCAATAGGCGTTCAGAGGTGGAAAGAAGTATGGCTTTAGTGCATTTGCATCATTCCTCAGGGGTGGAGAAGTTCATCTCCATATCAGTGGGTAATTACCTGGGCAACGGAGGGCTTATTGTACCTGAGAGGTGAAGAGGGACCGGTTTTGCTTCTGCTGGAGCAGGAGAGATGGGCCGGACTGCAGTAAGCAATTTAAACTTTATTTCTCCCTTTGACTGATTTCGGTTTCAGAAGTATTTTGCCCTGGGATTTCCTCTCCCTGGACTTACAGTAAGATACCCGGGGATCATTACTGGCAAATGTCTTCCCAGGGGTGCTTCCTGACATCCTTTCCCGGGAACAGCTCATCATTTACAAGCCTGCTACTGGACTGTGGGTCACATGACCTATATATAAACTGTTAAGATTTGGTAGGTGAGTATGGAAAAGTATGTGTCTTGCAGCAACTCAAAACAAGCCTCCTACGTTCTTTTGCTCTTTACAATCGCCACCAACCAACCTGGAGTGATCTGCCTTTCTTGGGTCTCTCCCTGTCTTCTGTATGTGGTGGCCAGTTTCAGACACATCCTTGAAATTCCCGAGGCAGTTACAATCGAAGAGAAAATGCTGCAAAAGGAAACCTTGGACTCCTGGTACAGGTCGGTGCTGTTGTTACTTTTATTGATCCTCACAGAGACTAAGGTGAATGCCATCACCGCCTGCTATTAGTCAGCAAACTGCTTCCAGGAGCTCTAGTGAGTCACTTAAGATTCGATGGTGTGGAACTAGGAGGTTGCAGTGCCTTCAGCCCCCTTCTGTCTGTGGCAGATGGAAGGGTGCCTTGCCCCAGAATGTCACCACTTGCCGATGAAGACTGCAGGAGCAGCTGATGCACAAGGAATGGGCACCTCTTTCAAGGCCCTCGGTAGGGTCACTCCT